TTTAAACTTGAACATATTTTAAGGAACGTATTTTTGAAACCAGATTGAATGAATTGGAAATACATGTATATTTCAATCTGGTTTCATATATATGTATGAAACCAGATTTTATATATATATATATATTTACATAATTTATATACATATTTTTTATCCCACAAAATGAGCACATTAAAGTTAAAATGTCAGTTTATGCATAATGCTATGAAATAGTAGTTTATGGCATAGCACAGAAAATCAATAATCAAATGGAAAATAGAGGGAAAAGGTGAAGATTTTATCTCTATTTATTCATCTGTCTAGCACCCTCAATGTGAGAGACATGGGTTCGATCTCTGGGTTGGAAAGATCCCCTGGAGAAGGGAATGGTTACTCACTAGAGTTTTATTGCCTGGAGAATTCCATGGACAGAGGAGCCTACAGTCCATGGGGTCTCAAAGAGCTGGACACGACTAAGCAACTAACACTTTCACAATTTTAAAAAGTGTAAGTTTATCCAATATGTTTGTACTTTCTGCAGGAAAAATCGAATGGTCATTGGGGTGCTAAGTGCTTCTGTGTGTATGTTAGTTGCTCAGTCGTGTCTGACTCTTTGCCACCCCATGGACTGTAGCCCATCAGGCTCCTCCATCCAAGAGATTCTCCAGGCAAGAATCCCGGAGTGGGTTGCCATTCCATCCTCCAGGGGATCTTCCCGACCCAAGGATTGAACCCAGGTCTCCCACATTGCAGGCAGACTGTTTACCATCTGAGTCAATAGAGAAGACTATTTGGCTACACGACAGCATTTTCCTAATAATATAAGTACAGAGCTTTGAGCTCTGGGAAGATACGTGTCAGGAAATGTTCCTTTCCAGGAAAATGGGGTAGTACCAGAGCATACCTGCTTTATTTGGAGTGCAAGATCTTGCAGAGGCTTCTGCGAAGACAGCCAACAGGACAAAGGCCCTCATCACCATTGCTTTTGCCAGGTGGCAGAATCAAGCTGGCCAAACGTTCACGGTCCTGCCAGGGCCTGAGTCTTGATCATTCTAGGTCAGAGATTTGTGCAAGAAATTAAAATCAAGGGCGAGAACAAAAGCAGCACAATCAGAGGATATTGATCCTGTCTCCCGTTTCTAATGGCTCCTCATCTGGGCTGGGAGGCAAACATGGGGCTCATACCGCAGAGAGCGTCAGTTTCACACGCGGCTGCTCATGTTCCCAACTGTTTCATTCTCCCAGACTGGAGGCTGCCTCTCAGGTGCTCCTCAAGCCTCTGTTCCCAGTCCTACCTGGACTTTATATAGTCTGAGTGTGTAAAAGAAACCTACTCCAGATAAATCACAATGAACACACATTATCCACTGTGGGGGGAAATAAAAGGCAATCTTGCACAATAATCCGATGGGAAGCTCAGTTACAGCCACTTGAGGCTAATTTCTTTTGCTTCACAGAGTTGGAGAAACTTTTTTAATAACTAGTTTTAAACTAGGAGTGGAATAAAAAGTTGATTTTTCCTCCTCATACAAAAAATAACTCTGATCAGAGGCAAACTATTTTCTGCACAGTTCCAGGTTGCAGTTTTCTTTTTTTACATCGTGTTTTCTTAGGTTTATTTCTTGCTTTCTTATTTTTTATGTGTAGGCGATCTGAACTGCGAATGTAGAAAGACTTAAGTCCCACAGTGTTACACCTGATACTAAAGAAAAAAACAGGCTGCTTGTGTTCATGAAAACATGTTAAAGATTTTTTTCTCTAATATTTTATAATAAACCCTGAATTTCTAGAGTTTCATCTAGAAGTTCATCTAGAACTTCATTCTAAAATACAACTTTGATTGTAGGCACCTGAGTTTTCTAAAGTCTTGTTAGTCTCCCAGAGTGATGATACTGGAAGAAGGAACTTAGACAACTTTTAAAAATTTTTAATTTTTTTATGGAAGTATAGCTGATCTACAGTGTTGTGTTAATGTCTGGTGTATATCAAAGTGATTTATATATATATATTCTTTTTCATAATCTTTTCCATTATGATTAATTATTTAATATAGTTCCTTGTGCTATACAGTAGGACCTTGTTGTTTATCTATTTTATATATAGTAGTGTGTATGTGTTAATCCCAAACTTCTAGTTTATCTCCTCTCACCTCCATTTGTTTGTGTGTCTGTGACTCTGTTTCTGTTCTGTAAGTAAGTTCATTTGTATCAGACTTCAGTTTCCACATATAAGTGATATCATGACATTTGTCTTTCTCAGACAGGCAATCTTATGACTCAGTTCTTAGTCACCAAACAAGATCTCCCCAGAAACAACAGATAAAATGCTGCTCCTGCAGATTTCCAAATATATTCTCTGGGAATTTTTAGCACCAGGAAATTTAAGAATGAAAAATAAGGGTTTCCTTTAGCTTTTGTTTTTAGAGGAAACAGACTCTTTTATCAACCAACTGAGAGCTTACTATACAGAAGCCACTATATTAAGCGTTTTGAGAAGACAGATGTAAAAAGTGTATAAAAATGCCCTGCAGGCAGGAGTTTGCAATGTAGCTGAGAAGGTAAATTGTACACAGTGCCTCAGAGTTAGAATGCTTGTGAAGTCTTTGTTCCGTTAACCTTATCAAATTTCCTTAGTTTTAAGATCCCTGTCTCTCCCTCTGAATGCATGTAATTTAAGGTCTCAGAAACATTTGGGTGTGTCTTATAAGCATATGTATTTACAATGTGATAGAGATCTTTATATTGTCAAAACCTATTGTTGAATCAATGGTGTCGCTTACAGTGATGATACCTAAGAACTGAGGAAAGAGCCATATGGCCAGCCATGATAGATTTTTTGTGACTCAGTTTCCTTCCCTATAAATGGAAGTCTCAGCCCCAACCTCAACTCACAGGGTGGGAGAGGAATGATGTAAAGGCTATTATAAACTGTAAAGTGCTGGGTAAAGAAATAGATGACACAAAATGATAAGTAACAATTTCCGGCAACCAGCTTGCATCCCTGAGTTGTTTTTCTTTTCCAAGGAAGTACCATGAAGTGCCCATGGTAGAGTCATGCAACATGAGGCATGTCTATATTGTATAACACACATGCAATGAGTGTATTTTTTTACATAAAGACTGAATGGGCTGAAAAGGGGAAAAGGAGGGAATACATTAATACTTCTAACACTGAGATCCAGTTTAGTGCAACCTGGAAGTATCAGCATGTTTATACTGGTCCCCACAATTCATTACAGGCATTACTTCCTGAGCAACAAATGGCACTTGAATCTCACAGGCATGTGTGGATTCTGAGTTTCTCTTTCCTAGAATTTAGCACTATCTCTAAGCTGCTGCTTCCATCTACTTTTTAAAACATATGTTGGGTACCTACAGTATTCCAGGGATGAGGCTCTGGGAAGACAAAGGCAAGTCAGCAGAACAAGGAACTGGGTGGGTGGATGGGGTGGGTGCGTGTGTGGGTGGGATGCACAGAGTGATGGAAATCTGTACAGGGAACATGCGATGGGAGGAGGGAAAAGGGGAGGGTTGGCATGCTTGACAGAGTAAGTAACAAGTAAGCCTAACTTCATAAGGACAGCCCCTCTGATTGGGTACCAACGATTATTGGTCACTGATAATTCAGTGTTGATCTTCCATGTACATTAGGATCCTTGTTTCCATTTCAAGAGAAATCTTTTTTAAAAAAATATTTATTTTAATTGGAGGCTAATTACTTTACAATATTGTGGTGGTTTTTGCCATACACTGACATGAATGCTTTTCACCGATCTTCAATACATCCTTCTTTTCAGACAACCTTGGCCCAGTCCAATCAATAGGATCATCTGAACTCATGAGGAAGGGCAGAATTCACTCATGAAAAGGGTTTCAGGGGAACTACAGGCCTCTCCCATATCCCAGTGGAAATATCTGATGGATGCCTACAAGATGCCTGGGATCAAAAGCCCACCTCTGCCACTTACTAGCTGTGTGTCCTTGAAGTTACTTAGCTTCTGGGAGCCTTAATTTCCTCCTCTCCTGAATGGCTGTGATCATATCTACAAACAGTTACTCAGAGTATTAAAAGAAATATAAATCAGTTTACACAGAGTGGCTACTTTTTTTAGAATAAGGTTGACTTTATTTATTTTGAAGGTTTATTTGCTTGTTGTTCGCTGTGCTGGGTTGTTGCTGCTGCGTGCGGGCTTCCTCCAGTTGTGGTGAGTGGGGGTTACTCTCCGGGCGCAGCGTGTGAGCCGCACGTTGTTGTGGCTTCAGTTGTTGCAGAGCCTGGGCTCTAGGTGCCTGGGCTTTCCGTGGTTTTGGCCTGTGAGTTCAGTAGTTGCTGCATGAGGGCTCTAGAGTACGGGCTCTGTAGTCGTGGCGTGTGGGCTTAGCTTCCCTGAGGCGTGTGGCATCTTCCTGGACCAGGGCTCGAACCCACGTCCCCTGCATTGGCAGGTGGACCCTTGACCACTGGACCACCAGTGGGAAGGACCAGTGGGGAGTCCTAGAATGGTTTTTTGTCCTCTGCAGGGGCAGAACATCAGGGAAAATTGGTTTTATGCACAGTTCTACTTGGAAAATCTGAAGAGGGAAGCCTCTTAGGAGTGGATTGTCACTGGACGGTACATGTTAATGTCATTAGTGCTGAATTATGTCATAGGTAACTAAGAGCACAGGTTCTGGAATTAGGGGCTGTGGCTCTGTCCATTTCCAATTGTGTGATATTGGGCAAGGGACTTGACCTTTCCAAGCCTTCAGTTTCCAACTCTGTATACTCAGGCTCCCCGTCTCCTGTGGCTGTTGCAAGGGCCTGATGAAATTATGCCTCTGAATTGCTTAGCACAGTGCCTGGCACAGTGCTCCATCCACGTTTGCTCGTTTATTCGTCTGAGGTTGGTACCTTCAGGCCGGGAAGACGTGTCAATCGTGTTCCCGTATGAACTCCGGGCATTTTTCTAATGGAATGCTTCTCTCTTTAGAAGCCCACCTTCACAAAGGACAGGTGCTTTTGATTTCTAAAGAAGCCCGATAATGATAAGATCTTGCCTACAATTTCTCGGAGTGGGGAGTCCAGCTAACAATCAGGTACATGATACTCTTTTCCAGGGCAAGTTGAATGAAGTCAGGGAAGCAGAGTTAACTTTTGTGGCAGGCTGGTCTCTAGATGTTTAATTTGCATAAGAAACAAAATGGGACAAAATGTACTTGGCCCAAACAGTATTTGATACTTGCTCTGATAAAATGTAGGAGGCTTCTATTTTTTTTCTTGGTAATTACCCACCGTTCCATGGCCCTACCCCATCCTCTCTGCTTTTCACCACTCCTCTCCCTTTCTGAGATGATGGAGTGAGCGGGGTACCACTGGGAGATGATCCCAAAGCAACATCTCCCACTGAGGTCCATGGCTATGTCTCCATAAAACACAAAATGTTTGGGAAGATTTTTAAAATATCAGCATCTTAAAAGAGCCCCCTCGCCCCAAATGGATTTATGGCAGGCTCATCTGAAAGATGTTTTGTCTCTCCTTGTGTCTTTCTGTTGTGAATTGCCAGGCAATAGAAGGTACCAGTTCTATTCAAAGGTCTTGCATGATTGGTACAAGCTGGCCCAGACGCAAAAGTGTTGCCATTTGCAGAATTCCAATCAACGTTGTCATTCATAGCTCAGGAATCTTATAGGTGATGAATCATGAAGATAAACAAACCAGCAAACTCTTACTGGGGTACCAGATGGTAGTTTGAAAATAAAACCAATAATCGTGCAGTAAAATTTAAAAGGCTGCTTTGTTAACTCAGTTTTTAAAGCACACTGTTTCGGGTTCTTTAAATGTTGGCTTTGTTGAACAGACTGCATTGTTTCCTTTAAGTCCTGAATCAAGCCTTCTTCTACTTTGTGGGAGACTCTCCGCCAATTTGCAAATGAGTAGATGTTCCCTTGCAGGCCTCCATGGCCTAGGCCTCTCACAATTCTCCAAAGAAAGTGGTGTTTCTCTCTTAGCAAATGCACTTCATAAAGGAGAGTTGAGAAATGAGAAAAGACCCTCTTCTGACAGTACCTCCGAAAATCAGAACAAGAAGCTCCACCACCCCCATCGCTCCCCAGACCCCATAGCCACCGGTTCCTACATATGAACTGGCCTCTCCGGGCTTATCTGGCTGGTCTCTAAGCAGGAGGTAAAGCTTTGCCTTCTGTCTCAGGGCCAGGACCCTCCTCCAATCATAGGACTGAAGAATTAAAATGGCTCCTCCTCAGATCAGGATCAGGGATCTCATTGCTGGTCCAAAACATTCAAGGCAAGTAATTTGCTCTGTTCTTAAAACTTCTCAGAGTATCATCTACTTATTCTTTCATTCCTTTACTCACTCATTCATTCACCAGATATGTAATAACTGTCTGTAATGTACCAGGTAGTAATTAAATACATATATATGAATATCTACCTACCTATCTCCTACTTGGGATAAATGTAAGGATATTGATAAAAGACACAAGAAGGCTTTAAAAATAAAGAATAATGAGACAGAGAAGGGGCATCTAATTTAGATGATCGAGGAAATCTCTTTAAGATGGGACCTGAAGGATGAGGGGCTGGGGTAGATGCTGATGGGATGTGTGCATGTACGCTTGTATGCATGTGTGTGTGTGTGTAGGGACAGAATATTCCAGGCAGCGGGTAGGGGTATGGCACTTAAGGAAGCTCTGATGTAGGCTGGAGATAATACATTCACCAACCATCGTATAGTTTTTATTTTAGAGCTCTTTTCCCAGACACCCAAGCAAACTTTCCTTTTTGGCTTGAAGCACATTTCCTCTTGCTTGGGCTTTCATATCTTCAGCATTTCCATCCTTGGTAGATAGCGCCAGTCTGGGTTTTCTTTCTCTGGCAAATTACAGTCATTCTGGTGATGTACTCATTCATGTCTGACTCTGCTACCCCATGGACTGTCACCCATCAGGTTCCTCTGTACATGGAATTCTCCAGGCAAGGACACTGCAGTGGGTTGCCATGCCATCCTCCAGGGGATCTTCCCAACCCAGGGATTGAACCTGCGTATCCGGCATTGGCAGGTGGACTCTTTACCACTGGCAGCACTGGGGAAGCCCGCATTCTGGTTATAGAGTTACAATTAAAATTAGAGTAAGTGTCCCATGGATCTTTAGAAACTTAACACTAATTCACAGACTTGCCCTCTAGGATCCATGTTTTGGTTGACTGGTTTTTCTTTTCAAAAACTTCATTGGGAGCCTTCTCTTACCCAATGTGCTACTTGTGACTTCTTCCTCACTCCCTGACAAAGTCTCATGAAGTCTGATATCTGTGTAATTGTGCCAGAGGTGGAGTGAGTTTCATTTTCCTTACTGTCTGTGATGAATTAGTATAGACCTACAGGCCAGTCCTTCTCTCAGGTAGCCAGAGATGGGTGAAAGTAAGGAGCAACAGAAGAAAAGAACCTATATAGTGATCTTGTCTGCTACTGCTACACAACTGTGTAACTGTAACCACATATCACTTTGTTCTCAAATGCCTATATGCTCTTGGTGGATACCAGGTACATCAGATACATGGCACACAGACAGTCACTTCCCCCTCTGTATACATGCCAGATTCACTCATCAGGAAACTCTTCCCCTTTGACCTCAAACAAGACCTCAGAAACATTATCAAACTGTACTTAAGACACTGTTTGAATCAGTTGGAATTAGCATGTGAGTTGAAATCCATTCAGTTATCTGCAGTATAAGCAATTGGATTGCTTCTTAGACAGAATGACATGGTTGGAACTAATACACTTCTCCTATAGCATTTATCATAGTATGACTTCAGATTTTGGAATGAACCTCCATCATCAGAATGAAACCTGTATCAAGGCAAGGGTTATATCTGGGTGTTTGCTTAAAATTAAATCCTTAGCTCCCAGCACAGTAGCTAGCCAATAGTTGATTTAGAAAATATTTTTTGAATGAGTGAATGACACAAAGTTGTTTTTTGGAAGAAGCCAAAGGACATTTAAAACTGCAAAGCAATTGAGCTCAGACACAAACCTCTATTGAAGGGTATTATTCTGGATTTCTTTGTTGTTGTTGCTATTTGGTTGCTAAGTTGTGTCCAACTCTTTTGAAACCCCATGGGCTGTAGCCCACCAGGCTCCTCTGTCCATGGGGTTTCTCAGGCAAGAATACTGGAGTGGGTTGCCATTTGCTTCTCCAGGGGCTCTTCCTGACCCAGGGATTTGAGCCTGTGTCTCTTGCATTAGTAGGGGGATTCTTTATCACTGAACCACCAGAGAAGCCCTCTGGATTTCTATGTGAACTCAATTCAGTTTGGCTAGTTAGCATATAACAACCTGCTCAGATTCCTCCTGAAGCCCTAAAAATGTGTGTCTCTGATTTTCTTTCAGCCAGCTCTTTGCAGTCCATACTAGTTCTCAGTACCTGGTCTGATTACAGCAGCATCTGCAGACATCTTTGTTTAAGTGTTTCTGAAGAGAGGATTATTTCCATATTGCATCAGAGTGGTTTCTGTACAACTGTAGTGTATGTACCCACCAATGTTCCCCCTTTCCTCTAAGAACCAAATAGCATCCTGAGGTGGGGGAGGAAGTGTTTCAAAATCCTGCAGCCTGGTTAGCACTCTCCTACAAAATGCATGCTGGACATTGTGATTAAATGTTTTAAATGGTCTCATGTACTAAATTCTAAGTAGTCCTGTTTTTCTGTTTTCCCTGGCACTGCCGTATGTGGATCCCATTTGTTTAATAAACTGGCTGAACGATGTGTTTAAGTCTAATTCACATCTCAGTGAATATATTGTGCTTTTCTGAACCTAGAGAATTACAATGTTTGTGTTCAACATTTGGGGAAAATTGAAAATTTGGGAAGTTACAAAGGTAGTTTCTACTATTCCTATAAAATAGGCACTCCAACTGGTTTTAAAGATTAAAAGTCAGGGTAATTCCTGGCAGTCTAGGGCCTAGGACTCCATGCTTGCATTGCAGGGGACATGGATTTGATCCCTGACTGGGAAACAAAGATCTTGCAAGTTGCGTGGCATGGCCAATAAAATAAATACATTTTAAAAAAGACTAAAAGGCAATAGTTTTGATTAAACAACTAATAAATCATGGCAGAACTCCCATCTTATCATCTATAATTCACTAATTACAGAGGGAAATTAGAGCAATAAGTTTGTATTGCAGACTTTCTGTGTATGGTAACGGCCAAAAAAGAAAACCCTTTTGTTAGATTAATCAATGTTTTGATTAAAACAAAACCCTCTCATTGGATTGATCAGTCTTTTGATTTCTGAAACGAAGCTCTTTGCTTGTACAGCCAGAGGGAAATGGTAATAAAAATGGATTTATTGATCAATAGCTGCAGAAAATGAAAGCGTTAGTCAGTCATGTCTGACTCTTTGTGACCCCATGGACTGTAGCTTGCCAGGTTCCTCTGTCCATGGGATTCTCTAAGCAGGAATACTGGAGTGGGTTGCCATTCCTTTCTCCAGGGGATCTTTCTTACCCAGGGATCAAACCCAGGTCTCTGCATTATAGGCAGATAATTTACCATCTGAGCCACCAGGGAAGCCAATAGCTGCAGGGGGAAAGGCAAAACCTTGAGCAATGTACACACATAGTTATAGTCTCATTGACCAGTGGCTGACCAGTGGTTTTCTAAAAGCCATAAACTCAGGGCTGTGATGGACCCAAGAAGAAGGGATTCAAAAATTCTGAAGTGCATGTCTTTCCTTTCTTGAGTCAGAGTTTTCAGGGGTGGAAAGTAGAAGTTAGATGATTTCAGAAGGTGCAGGTAGCTGGCATAGCAACCTGGGCCAGACCACATTGGACATCATTGGCAGCAGACGTGAGAAATAGAGAAATACTAGGTAAGAGCTGAAGTGTTCTACAGACTATAGGGGTAGATACTTAATTATGGTGAGTTTTTTGTTGATTTCTTAAAATTTTAGTAAATGAATGGAGTCTGCATTATCCAGGCAATTCAGAGCCAGTCTCCAAAGACAAACTCATTGCTGCCTGCTATATGAGGCTATCTCAGATTTCCCTCCTGTGGACTTTGAACTTCTGTTGTCTGCATCACATATACTGTATACTGCTGTGTGTATCTTGTCTTCTTAAACTGAGAACTTGTAGGTCTTTATATTTCTGGCAAAACAACAAAAAGTCATAATGATAATTTATTGAGGGATTACGATATCAGGTTCAGTGCAAGAATAGAAAGATAGAGATCAGGCCCAAAATCTGAGGAGGTCTTACAAACACTGAGAGAAGAGGAGAAGCAAAATGCAAAGGAGAAAAGGAAAGATATATCCATATGAATGCAGAGTTCCAAAGAATAGCAAGGAGAGATAAGAAAGCCTTCCTCAGTGATAAATGCAAACAAACAGAGGAAAACAATAGAATGGGAAAGACCAGAGATCTCTTCAAGAAAATTAGAGATATCAAGGGAACATTTCATGGAAAGATGGGCACAATAAAGGACAGAAATTTTTTTTTTTTATCACAAGAAACCATCAGTTTTATTAACATGTAATATCACACAAAGTCAGAATAAAACCTTTTCCAATCCACTGTGTAACGGATTAAATACAGATTACAAATGAAACAAGATGTACACTAATTACATGACTTTTCTGAGAAGGGTTTCCATACATTTCTAGGGTATCAGAGGTATTTCTCTTTGAAACATGTTCAAATATGTTTCATGACATCTGTTGATATTATAAAGATACAACATGTATGACTAACACCTCCATTTAAATGTTCAGCGTACATGCTACATCACTGTGTCCTTAATCTCCTAATGGAGAATAGAGATAAATGATTTCTCTCTGGGATAGAAGGCCTTGTCTCATCTTTGAGTAGCAATCATCAAAAACATTACTTTGCATACACACATAGCAGCATGGAGTAATTTGAGTGTTGAATAACATATCTTGGTTTTCAAGTAATCACAAATTGTGTCAATACAAAGATACATTGCTAATAATTGTACATTTCTAAATACCAACCCTTCATCTTGTGATCCATACTAACATATCAATTTTCTATCTGTTTTAACTATGGATTACTATCTACAATACTTCTCCTGAAGAGAACTTCAGAAAACCGGATTGATGAAATGGTTTCTAGTGTGCGGGCTTCCCTGATAGCTCAGTTGGTAAAGAATCCGCCTCCCACTCCAGTATTCTGGCCTGGAGAATTCCATGGACACAGTTCATGAGGTTGCAAAGAGTTGGACACGACTGAGCAACTTTCACTTTTTCTAGTGTGCAATTTCTGGTATTTATTTAGATTTAATTTTCATTAAATACTTTTCTACATTGTTTTGTGCCATTTCTTATCTTTCTTAAATAAAGGGTCCTGTATTTTCTGAAGTGTATGTTTAGGACAAACCTCTTTCATCACTTATTTTTTTACTACAGTTTCTCTCCAGTACGTGCTTTCTGATGTTTAGTAAGGTGAGAGCTCTGATTAAAGCCTTTTCCACTTTCCTTACAGTTATAAGGTTTTTCCTCCAGTATGAATTCTCTGATGTTGAGTAAGATGTGAGTTCTTGATAAAGGCTTTTCCACATTCTTTACATTTGTAAGGTTTCTCTCCAGTATGAATTCGCTGGTGTTGAATAAGACTTGAGTGGTGACCGAAGGCTTTCCCACATTCTGTACATTTATAAGGTTTCTCTCCAGTATGAATTCTCTGATGGTAAGTAAGACCTGAGCACTGGTTAAATTCTTTGCCACAGTCCTTACATTTATAAGGCTTCTCTCCAGTATGAATTCGCTGGTGTTTAGTAAGAGATGAGTAGTGACTGAAGGCTTTTCCGCATTTTTTACATTTGTAAGATTTCTCTCCAGTATGGATTACTTGATGTTTAGTAAGACATGAGTGCTGTCTAAATGCTTTGCCACAATCCTTACATTTATAAGACTTCTCTCCAGTATGAATATTCTGATGGTAAGTGAGACCTGAGAACTGGTTAAATTCTTTGCCAGAATCCTTACAGTTATAAGGCTTCTCTCCAGTATGAATTCTCTGGTGTTGAGTAAGATTTGACTTCTGATTAAAGGCTTTGCCACACTTCATACATTTGTGTGATTTTTGCTGCATATGAATTGTCTGATGTTGAGTAAGACATGAGCTACAAGGAAACACTTTGCCACATTCTTTACATTTGTTTGGTGTCTCCCTAGCATGAACTTGCTGATGCAGACTGAAATGTGAACACCTAAAAATGGCTTTGCCACTTTCCTTACATTTGTAAGGTTTCTGCTCTGTATGGATTCGCTGATGTTGAGTAAGCTTTGAGTTCTAATTAAAGGTTTTGCCACACTTTGTACATTTATAATGCTTCTCCCCCGTATGAATTCGCTGATGTTGACTAAGATTTGAGCAAGACATAAATGCTTTTCCACATTCCTGACATTCATAAGGTTTCTTGCTGTGTGGATTTGCCGATCTTGACTAAGCTTTGAATTCTGATTAGAGGCATTGCCACATTCTGTATCTTTGAAAGGTTTCCATCCTGAATGAATTTTCCTGTGTCTACTTAGATTGGATGAGTTAGTAAAGGCTTTCTCACATTTCTTACACTTGTAACTTTTCTGCGGATCCTGAATATTCTGCTGTTGAGTAAGATTTGAAGACTGATAAGAAATATCACTATATTCACAATTATAAGTCTTCTCTCCTGTATGTGTACTCTTCTTTAGTGGAAGACCTGATGTTTGAGAAAAGATATTCCTACATTTACTATTTTTAGAATCCTTGTCTGAAGATTGAGATCCCTGATGTTTCATAGGGTTAGAGTCTTGTTCAGTTTTAGACCCAGTTTCATTGCATGAATAGCTTCTCACTCCATCGTAAGTATTATTGCAATTATTGGGGGTAGAGCTCTTACTTAAGGCCTGACTCGTGTTATTACATGTGAGAAGTTGTTCCACATTAACCGTATTAACCGTATTAACGTATTAACCATATCATGATGTGTATTGAACAATGATGGTGGGATTAACTCTTTTCCATTATTATCAACATTACACATTTTGGAACAGAGAGAAACTGTCCATTGGTGGAAGAATAATGATCCCTTGCTCACAGATCCCTCAAATTGATTATATTGTGAGTTTTCCCCATCATTTTTAAATTTCTGGTTTTCAGACGTGCTTTATGTATATGTAATCGAAGCCTGTGTTCAGAGTGGTTTGAATGAGTATTTGCAGTAGAGACTGGATGACTTTCCAGATTTTCTACATTCCCCTTCAGAGAACGTGTATGTTTCAAAAAATGATTTAAGCCTTTGCTTTAAAAGATATGCTTCTCTGCAGATGTTGATAACTGAAATGGGTGTTTTCCCCAATTTGACTCACATTGCTCATTTCTTTTGGCAGTAATGTCTGCGTTATGTGAAACTGTCTCAGTTCCTTTATGTCAATGTAAACATCTTCTAGGTCTTTCACAGACCCCCATATATTCCTGGTCTTTCATTAAATGTTCATTTCCAAGGTGAGCTCTTTCATATGTTCCTAGGTTTGCCTTTTGGATTAAATTTTCG